TAAGATGGTGGTGGCTCATTATATAGGCCCCCAAGTGAACTTTAGAGCTGTTGCATTTCGTAACTAGCCATTTACTCTTGTGTTTGTTGAAAACGGTCACTGAGTTCATTTGTAACTAGCCGTTGCTCTTGCTTTGAGTGATGAAATGTATTTGAAGTCTGCGGTAAATTCACCACAGGTATGTGTAAACACTGTCAATTGGCCTCTTTCCTATTCTTGGGCTTTGAACCAAACACAATAGCTTTTATGGAAAGCTTTTTTTGAGGTGTTTTCCTTTTCTTTGGTGGTGAACCAATCATGGGTTTTGGATATGCTTTCTTAATATTCACTTTGTAACTCCATAACAAACACAAGTTATGGATTCCTGGATGATCCAAAAAATTTTTAGGAAATGGTTATTTGCCTCGGATTCCATTTCCTTTATTTTATGGAAACGAACCAAACAGCCCCTAAATCTCCTCTTTCTCTCTAGGCAGCTGAGCTCCTCATCGGCATCGATCCCGACCCCAATCCCGACTCCTCCACCTCCTCCTCCGGCGCCTCAACTGCCTCTCGAACCCAGAGCCTCCGACGACGCCTCCGCCCTGGCATCACCCTCTCCCTCCTCATAGCCCTCTGCGATTGCGGCGTCAATCCCGAAGCCCTAGCCGCCCTCGTCCGCGAGCTCCCTCCTCCACAAGACCCCGTCACCGCCCCAAACCCTAACTCACGCCAACCCTAGTCTCACCCCGCTCTCTCTCTCTCTCTCTCTCTCTCTCTCTCTCTTTCTCAGGTAAAAGAAACTTCTTTTTTACTTTTGCAATTGTTTTGTTGTAGCACTTATTTAGTGTTACAATGTGTATTTTGATTTTTTTTCCCTCTCCCTCTCGTAATGAATTGGATGCTTAATCGTATGAGTTGTTGATTTGGGGAAGGGAAAGATGCGATTTTGTTTTCTGTGCTAAAGCGTAATCGTATATTTGGGTTTGTTTGATGTTTGCATTGCCATTTATATTTCTTGTTGATCATTTTCTGGTAAAATTTCAGTATGTTGATGAAATAATGCAGCGTGTCTTAGCTCCTAGCGCAATTCTATAATCATTTTGTTATTAAGAGCAGGATACGTATATAGTAATTTTTGGGCTTATAGGACATACGAGAAGATTTTTTTTAAATAGATTACTCCGCCACCTTCTCCTCCATCATCGCCGTGGGCTCTGGTAAACGCTTGACAAACTCATTTGTTTTATTGTCGAAGTTAGGGCTTGGTTGATTGAATTTTGGGGTGTTTATTGTCTGACTCAGTAGAACTAGGGCGCTTATTGTTGTGGATATTTCTTGCTTTCTCGATTAATTAATTAAATGGAAGAGTTCTTAATTGCACCCGTGAAATTTGACAAAGATTGTGAAACATTAAAATTGGATTAGGCTTTCCCTAAGGCTCCAAATTCCTTGTGCAGGGATTTAACACTAATTTTATTTACAAAACAGAATCTGGTGGATTATTTGAATGCTACTCTTCAGATTGCACTTTAGTGCAAAAGATGAAGTGGGAGATCCTTCACATTCCAGGAAAGCAGCCATCTACACTTGAACAATCCACTGGTATCACAATTTTACTGGGATTTTCTTTACTAGTTCTCTTGAAGATTTAATTTGATTTAAATTTTTTGTTTTCTATTAATTGCTTTGACAGTTGACGTGTTAGCTTCTACAATTGAGCCCAAGCTTGCAAACATTCTTGTCAGGTCAGCAGCTCTGCTTTCTTGAATTCCTTGCATGAGAGATTTTGAAAGACTTTTTAATGTGAATTTCAATGTATCTAGGAAGTTGAATCAGATATACCCGTTAGAAGATATACGGCATGTAAAACGGGTAAGGAGGAGGTCCGTTGAAGGTGAGGTGGTTTTACATCTGATTATCTTCTGTCATCACTCGATAAATATTTTCTATGCACCATAAAGTTTTAACAATATACATTTTAGATTGATTCTATTTTCGGTAGGATCATTTTGCAATAAGTTATGAAACAGCCACTCGAGTAGTCATGTGAGCCTCGGGCTTTGTGCTGATTGTCAAAGTTCTGAGCATCATCATGTTTGGCCAAATCCAAATTGACCTGTAAAAACTGTATTTTAGTTTGGGGTTTGGAGACTTTTTGGCAACTCATGTCCTGCGTTTAGCACATATGATACTAATTCCAGGCTTTAGTATTTGGCGTCAAACAAGAACTTCTTAAGTAGTCTGTTTTCTGGACTGACCAGATCCCTGAACCTGTAGCATTATCATTATATTTATGATGATAATGTCAAATTGAGTGTTTCTCGCCCTTCTTGAAGTATCATGTCATGTGGTTATAATAATGGTTAATCTACCAAATAATTTTCTTGCAGAAGGATTCTACTTGTTCCTTGTGAGAAAATTATAGACTTGTACTTCTTTCTTATCAGATCTCCACTTGGCAGAGGCAAATAACTAATTCGGATTTGTAGATATGTAAAATGTAGATATCTGTTTCAGTGTTTTGCAAGTTAGAGTGGATGATGTTCAGGTTTAACTCTTATTCACTCTCATACAGGAAACATTGAGTTATCCGTGATATTATGTCTTTCTGGTGGATGTGATAATCACATGGAGGGCCTCTCCGAGGATCTCCTTCATCTTATAAATGTCTACCAGCTGAAACCTTTCAAAGCTAAAGTGAGTAATCTGTTCTACCATATTCTAATAATTGTGAATAATTAGCGAGTATATGAATATGCTTCTTGTTGATAGATGGGTGTGACTGTTTGTTTGTTTTAATCAATTCAGACCTTCAGAAACTAAATGAGAATTCATTCTATCATAGTATCATAGTCTTCTCAGTCAAGGAATTGGTGAAAACATTGAATATGCATCTTGCTGATAGTTGTATACAAGGTTGCTGATAGCGGATCGCGGCGCGTCGCGGCGAGATACCGCTAAGGCTATTTCGAGCTATTACGGCGAAATAGCGGCATATAACGAACATCCAAATAGTGGTCAAATATAAATATATTTAAATATTCTAAATAATAAGAAAATCATATAAAAATCTAAAAATTCTACAAATGCATATTTGATGCCTAAACATGAAATAGATATGTAATAATTACATAATATTAACAAAGTACTATAATTATAAATATTAAAGAATAAAAAATGTTCCTGTTTATCCAAAATATGTAGCTTTCACCCAATCTCCAAGTTCCAGCTTCATGCAAGATCCGCATTTTCCCAAATCCGCAAGACACAATCTCACATGTGAAGATGCTTGAGGAAGTTGACTGCTCTCTTCTAGCTGTCCATGGTCGCACAAGGGACGAAAAGGACGGGAAGAAATTTCGAGCTGACTGGAATGTCATCAGATCAGTAAAGAACGCTCTCCGGACTCCTGTTCTTGCTAATGGAAACATACGGCACATGGAGACAAGCATTTGTCATCAGATCAGTAAAGAACGCACCTTGAAGTCATCGATGGAAGTCGTCGTTGGAGGGTTGGAGATTGGAGAGACAGTGAACGAGAGATGACTTGACCGAAGGAAGTGAGAGAGAGAGAGAGGAAGGTGAGTCGGTTGTTGTTGGTGCGGGAGTCGGTGCTGGAAGTTGTCGCNGGAGTCGGGATAGACCAGAGAGGCGGCTAGGGCAAAGGCGACGGGAGAGACCAGAGAGGCGGCTAGGGCAAAGGAGAGAGGGATTTATTAGAATGGGTACGGGTCGGGTTCGGGTCGGGTTTGACGAGATGTTTATGAAAAACTGTAGTGGAAAATTCCGCTTTTTCACCGCTTTTCAGCCGCTACAGCCAAGGTTTTAAATGTCGGTTATCGGGGATTTATCGGACAGTCAAAATTCTTATCGGATAGCGGAAATCGGGGATATATCAGGGATAAATAGTATTTATCGGAGTAATATACTAGCAAATAAAAAACAAACATAAGCTTGAAAAATAATATAATGTTAGTCAAAATGGAATAATAAACTAGCAAATAATAAGATAACATCAAGAATGAAGAACCATCTACGCATCTACATAATTATTGTTTAATCATGAGATTCATAAACTAACTTACTAAGTTGATATTTAGTAGTTATGAGCCATTATCAATATCCATAAACAAACATAAGCTAATCACCAATCAACCAAGTTCCAAAAGCAACAAATAGTTCATAATTTGTAAACATTCAAAGAGCAAATCCAAAAGAAAGTAAAAGCTCCCAAATCCTACTTATCGGCCGATAAAACCGATATTTAGAGCCTACTTATCGACTGATAAGTACCTTTATCGTCGATAACTCGCGATAAACCTCAAAAAACGATAACCGAATAAAAATCCTACTTATCCTAGCGGAAAGCTCCCAAATCCGATAACTCGGCGATAATATCGGATTATCGGCCGATATTTAAAACCATGGCTACAGCGCGCAATCACCCGCTATTCGAGCGAATAGCGGTTTTCTCCGCCTAACCCACCCGCAAGCCCCTTAAGCGGGACGGTGAAGGCCCACGACCGCTATTCCGTCGCGTTTTACAACATTGGTTGTATATGTTCTTTTTTTCTAATTGAGTGTTAGAATTTCATATTCTATCGTTTCGCTTTTTTCTTTTTTTTTCACTTGTTCTCTTTTATGTGTTAAGAGTTTTATCAACTTTAGGTGCCTATCTCCGACACATTCCTGGATCACCAACACTTTTCACTTTTATGCACAGGGCCAATACCATGCACAACCACTATAAGTTACTTAATTTATCGTCTTGATAAACTTAGCAGGATTGACAACATACGCTAGTAACTTGAGTGGCCTGTTGTAAGCAGATTAATAAGGGAATCAAAGTAGGAGAGGGGACTGGGCTGGTGTACAAAATGTAATTGAAATTACTACGATGGAACTGAAAAAAAAATATTTGACAAAGGGTGGAAGGAATGCATGTAATGGCAGAGGTGCAAAGTAAGGGTTGTTAAAACTAGACAAACAAAATGACTAGGATTATATGTCTAGTAGGATTCACTTCCCCCTTATACTAGAATCACAATTTGGTGTCTTGAGTAAACAATATTCCTGCCATATATATGTGTGTGTGGTGAAGATCTTTTCTAGTAACAAATGTTTGATACCAAGGTAATCGATAGCGGATAGCGTCGCATAGAGGTAAGGCACCGCTAAGGCTATTTCGGACTATTACGGTAAAATAGCGGTAAAAAACGTAAAGTTAAATAGCAGTCTAATTTAGATATGTATAAATGCTAAAAAAAATTTAAAGAAAAATCTAAGAAATCTAAAAGTACATGTTGGATGATTTAAAGAGATCCTAAACATGAAATAGATATGTAACCATCACGTAATATCGAAGATGACTGAAGGAGTCAAAAAGTCATCGTCTTCGAGAAGAAAAGCTTAGCGATGACATGACTGTCCTAAAAGGAGCTCACAGTGAAGGAGGTGAGAGGAAGTATCAAGGTGTGTGTCAGAGGCTATGAGAGGTGGTGGGAGTATGCTGAAAATCACAGGAGACGGTGAAATGCAATGGTCAAGGATTGAGTTTAATTTTTAAAAAAATAAACCTCAAATCGCTTTTAAATAGCAGTAAAAAAACAAATTTCGAATGCAATCGCTCACTATTTACCGTTATGACACACTATTGGCCACTTTTGCGAACAGACATATTCCGCAATATGTCATCGTTATTGCGCGATAGCGTAGCGGGCGATAGCGTCGTGGGAAGGGACCGCTAACGCTATTTGCGTCGCTATTGCGGGGCTATTTACCGCTATTTATAACAGTGTTTGATACTAGTAAAATTAATGGTGGTTTTTTAAACTTTGAGGTCTCCCTAACCGCAAAACACCATGTCCAGCATATCTGTTGTCCAAAGCATTATATGTTACGAATTTCAAAGCATACATGTATAAAGGTGAAATTTGCAG